CACATTGATAATTCAAGTATCACCGTGAGGGGGGAATTATAACCTTCAATTTAACACCGATATCGGCGGGGTTCTTCCTTGCGAATGAAAGCGAATCCTGTTTGCCCGGAGGCTGTTCAATCATGAAATCAGCTCCACCAGTGTTCCCGGCGCTCAGTTCGCGGGATTTTCCGGGCGCTTTGGTAATTTTCCGGGCAAAGCGGTTACAGCGCGCCGTTACCACATGCCCAGTCTCAAGGCGTACGCGATCTGCTCGGTCCGCTCATCACCATGCGGCATGCAGTGAGTCATCACCGCGCAAGCGCAAGCGAAGTGATGATGCTCTCGAAGCCGACGGCTGGCCATGCACAATTAATTAATTAATTAATTGCAAGAAAAAAAATTAAATCCTTGAATTTTAGGCAGTGTTGCCCCCAAAAAATGTTGATTTGTGTTGCATGAGGCTAAACCTACCATTTGAGGCAAGTTTCATTACCCATCGCGAAAAATAAAAATTTACGTGAGCCTGCCTATCTGAGACTGACAAGCGCTCCTATCCTACTCCTACTGCCAACAGTATTTCCAATATAGCAATAGTATTATTTTATTGTTTCATGCACACACCCAGTCCAACTCGTTTTCCTCCATCACAAGTGTGTTGAGCATTATCATTTTCAGATTCAGATCCATACACTCAGTCACACTCACGGCCCACTATCGGGGAAGGATGGCAAGCAACCCCTGGCGCTTCGGGAGGGCGATGCATTAGCGAAACGGTCACGAATAACTCTTCACCGTGCTCACTCGGGCGTCATTGACTTTCGATATGTACGACCAAATTAATCATTAGTTACCTGTGTTCATTTTGATCGGAGTCTAGCTCTGCAATCTTGGAAACAAGTGCTCTCTGATCTTGCCTTAATTGGTTGAAGCCAGCCACAATTTGTTCATGAGACATCTTTTTGGCATTGCCCATTTTCACTACTTTCTTGTCTGCCATTTTAAGCACGATGATAACGTTGTAATTCGAACGTAGAGGGCAGCTCGGCATATATATTTATCTGTCGGGTACACTAGGCCCGACACTAGGTCGAGGTTTCATTTCCCAAATCAAACCCAATTTTGTTGTTGTTGTGATTACCGGAAAACTAATAAGAATACTTTATGTAAGACTATTGTGCAAGCCTGAAACAATACCAATTGTAAGACAAATTGATGTTAGGTTCTCGGTCAGATTTGTTTTATTCATAATAAATATGGAACAACTGAATATAAACTTCAAATTCAACAAATTAAAACTTGTATTATCTTGATATGCTGCTCACATTCACAGATCAATAAGGGGCAGGGCTATTATGTAAATTATAAATTTAATGATAAGGTCTCTATCTATTTGTTTATTAATTCTTTGATACATTTAATGATTAACTGACACATATTTATGTATTTAGAAATATTCCAGATTCAATTTCCTTTTTTCGTTATTTACATCGTTTGTCTCAATACTCATTTGTTCATATTGAATCATCCATTTATTTTATTTACTGATTTATTAATTGAATACTTATCCATTCATTCGTTCAATTTATTCAATACGGCTCTGTTTCTTCATTCAATCATGTGTTTGACTTGTACTTTTCATAATCACTATTTTAGGGGGTAAAAATGGTCAACTCTCGGTCACTCTCTTCAGACATAAACACCCAAGTGAATCAATCCACACCATGGGGGTGTTTCACAAAGACTAAGATTAACTTTAAGTTGGACTTAACTATGGCAGGCCGTTCATGCCACTGTTGCTCTCACCATTTACTGGCACATTTGGTCTCTCAAGGGACGTACAAATCATGGTCACAAATCTATAGAATTTACATTTTTTTGATAATTCATTATCAAAGGAAAAAAAATTATGTAAAAATCATAATGGTGAGAGCAAACAGTGGCATGAACGGTCTGCCATAGTTCAGTCCAACTTAAAGTTAATTTTGGTCTTTGTAAAACAGCCCCCATGTTCAATAATAAGCTTTCCTTAGATGTCCATAAGTTGCATATCAATAATGTTTTATTCTCCTTTTCTGTCTACATCATCATTTCAATTGATACATTAACAAACAAAAAAGAACAAAAAAGGAATATCATCAGTTGAATGTTCACCTTTGACCTTGTATACCTTGAGTGGTATTTTCTTCTCTATTAGGGGGAATTAAACCCTAACAGTGCAACATGCAAAGGACTTTCAGCTGTATAGATAGGAAAACAAAGATCAAGCTTTGTATGGAAAATAATCCTATTAGTAAAAAATGTAACAGTAAAAGTGCATCAGTTAAATGACAATTACATGTATCTGTAAAACAGAGGAAAAAACAGAGCTCAACTAAATTGGAAAACAATTATAAACTGCAAAGAGATGAAAATGAAGAGAAAAAAAGAAGCAAATGTGGCATTAAATATAGATGAGACAAAAACCAATGTGAGAAGTTGGATAAAGTACAAGCTTTTCATAACTTATTATATGTACCTTGTTCATAATCAATTTGTGGACTTACAAACAAGTCCTTTCCAATAACACAATAAGCAAGATCTCTATACTCTCATCAGATGGCGCAGAGAGAGAGGGAGAGAGAGAAAGAGAGAGAGAGGGGGAGGGAAATAGAGAGTGGGTAGATGGAGATGGAGAGAGAGAGAGGGAGAGACTTACTTTATTCCAAACTTTTCACAAGTTTTGCAATAATCAACAATATCAATATTCCTCTTTTTGTCATGTTAAGTCGATCAGAAATAGCCAATTTTATAATTTAACAATTTAACAACGTTTGGTCCTATTTCTTCAAAAGAAATGTAAATTAACATAACAGCTCTTTCCATAATCGCTGGATCAGTAATTCTATAAAATTTATATATCTACAGAAAAAATTGACAATAATAAAACACATAAATAAATACACAACAAGAAATGAATAAATGAACTAATTGGTATTACAATGAATTGATTAATCAATCAATAAATAAGATACACAACTGTATTAAAAAAAGAATCAGCTTTTGGCATTAGATTTATTATCATTGATTATTAATTATCTAAAAAGGTATCAAATGAAAAATGACAAAATAAAGACAAATGCATTTACTTTTAGACACCACCCCCCCCCCCAAAAAAAAGGAACACAAAAAAAATTTACCCAGGAGATAGTACATTCACTTAAGTTAATGGAAATCATAAAAAAAGAAATGATCAAAAAAATCTTGAATACCAACCTTGAACAGTCCAACAAAATGCCCTGATTTGTAATTAGGGCACTTTCAAAATGAAGAGAAAAATGGAGGTGGGGGGGGGGGGGGGGGACTCATGGTTTAGACAAAACTTCAACTACCTTACATCTATCATTATTGTCATTATGATAATGATGCCCACCGTCTCCCTCTGCCCCCCCCCCCAACCCTTTCCGCATAAAATAAATTTTGAACAACAAAGTGAGAAATAGAAATGGGGATTGGGAAATGGTTCATGAAGAGAGGATGATAAAAAGAAAAGAAAGAAAAAATAACAAAACAGATTTTCGTTTTTTCTTCTTCCAAATTCAATACCCAAGAAAAAGAAAAACATTAACACAGACATGTAACTTTAATGCTCTATTCGGAGTAAGAGCATTTCTCACTTCTTCACACCTCCAATAAAAATATATAATTTGCTCCAACGCTATACTTTAATTTGATGAATGTAATAGATTGTAATATTGCATCTACATAATGGCAATAGCTTTCACTTCAATTGCTTGCAGTCCATGGCCAAAATATCTTAATAATGGAAATTTTGATTGGGGTCAGTTTCGTAAAAAGGGAACTCACTGAACTGGAATGACATAATTTAATATATTAGCTGATTGAAATATGCTTCATAGACAGGTTTACTAACATATTCAACCGGTGCTATAGTTTTCTTTAGAACTATAAGTTCAAGAAAGATTACCGACAGTCCTTTTCAGGACTCCCCAATCCTCCCTCCTCTCTAACAGGGTGCAACCGTAGGCCTACTGTATAATATATGGATGTTTATTTCCTGGGTTCCTCATGACGAGGTATTCCATTAACCTGTTAATAATTAATTAACTACAATACTTGGAATCCAGTTGGCATACCTTATTTGTTGCTATGTTGGGCTAGCCTTGGGCAAGCTATCAGGTTGTCCAGAACAACCTTTGTTTGAAAAATATGAGTAAAATTTGAATATTTGTGAAAACCAGTCCACTGCCCCGCAACGATTCTTCCATGGTCATGAAGGGCTTTTCGATTGTCAGGTCAACATAGTGAACCCTAACCCTTACCATAACGTAAACTCTTTGACCATATAAAGCCTGCAACAGTTTTCACGAAAGCATAAATAGGATCAATCCATCCATCTATCCAGAAAGGTATTTGATGTGTTGTGTTTTCCTTGCATCTACACATGTTTGGGCCACTTAATAATAATATTAATAATAAAAGTGGAGTCTTGTAAAGCGCTCATGTCTGGCACATTACCACTTTTGGCAATCCATTATTATTACCCAGCTTTAGCACGGCTGTCATTACAGCACTCCAGTATCTTAAGGAACTAATTCCTAATGGGAAGAAACTTTCCTTTATTACATGATAATGATTAATGTTAAATGATTTGATTTGATACATTGGCCATGGAAAACAAGGAATTAATTGCCTTTCTTAAGAACAATCAAACAAAGAGGTTTATATTTAGAATCTCACAAAACAAGTTCAAATCCATTGACATGAAGAAGACATTGTTACCCATAATATGCATTTAGGACCTGAACTTAACGTTATCTTTAAACACTTAATTTTGGGAAATGCCCAGGGGGGTGTTTCACAAGGATCCTATGTTTAACTTAACTTAACAATTATGGAAAGCCGTTAATAGCATCTTTGAAAATATTTTTAAAAGTTATTTTAAAAGGCATAAAATGTTGATTCAAATCCTTCATATTTTCTATTATCAAGGAGATTTCTTGTTCTTGATGTGGAATTATGAAAAGTCTAAATACTTGTTTTTCCTTTTGAATATATATTTTATTCTAAGGCTACAAATGGCTCTCCGTAATAATCAAGTAAAACTTAGAGGTAAGTTCGACTTTGGATCGTTGTGAAACACCCTCCAGGAGTTGACCGTGTCCACTAGACGTCCAGCCTAGGCCTTGAGGAGAGCGTTAACCACGGCCTGGACGTTGAGGTTGCGGAGGTCGCGGTAGGTCTGACCGGTCCCGACGAAGACGATGGGCTGACCGGTGGTGTAGGTCATAGAGATGGCAGCTCCAACCTGGTGAGTGGAAGAAAAAAAGAAAAAGAGAGTAGCGGTCAACATGGGTGTTGACCATTGGATCATTGGTCAATTATAGTCCTTCACTGAATAAAGCAAATTATGCAACACCTACGTAGATCCTTGTCATTTGATTGGACGATTGTTGGTCACATGATATTCAATAGATGGTATATTGCACGGTCGTGCATTTTTGGTTATATGCGCCGTGCATTTTTGGTTATATGCAGACTGCGTACCTCTCTGCTGCATGTGCGCGTATCCCTGCGTGTATCTGACGCGAAGGCAATCTGCATGTAATCGAGAAGGCTTGACTCGAACTTTAATTTATCTTTATAAGGAGTAAAGCATAATTTGTTGATTAACGTTCTATTAGGTCTTCTTCGATGTTGTATAAAACAAATAATGAATGTTTTTCATTCGTTTAATAGTGCAAATATGTTCATTCGTTGAAAGATTAACGTTAATTCTATTCAACTCGGCTGACGCCTCGTTGAATAGAATGTTAATCTTTCAACTCATGAACATATTCGCACTATTGAACTCATAACCATTCATTATTTGTATACTATAATATACATTTATTTAGTCAAGCATCGATTAGGCTGAATGAATGAATATTATATTGATTAATTTCATCATGTGATTTAACGGTTTTTGAAGACGAATTTTCAATTTTTGTTTAGGGTTAATATTTGGTTTCAATACAAGAAAGGGACCTCAAAACTTTTCAGCTGTTTCGGCTGCCATACACTAGTACACAAGTATCATAATCCTTTCCCTCCCCTATAAATGATAGAATGACCCTGAACAAAGCTGGTCATCAACGGTGAGGACTGTTATTAGTAATCCATTAGATCATAGCTCCTTTCTAAATTATCCACAATCGAGAAAGTGCATCATCATCATCATCATCATCATCATCACCATCATCATCATCATCATCATCATCATCATCATCGTCACCATCATCATCATCATTATCATCATCATCATCATCATCGTCACCATCATCATCATCATCATCATCACCATCATCATCGTCATCATCATCATCGTCACCATCATCATCATCATCATCATCGTCACCATCATCATCATCATCATCATCATCGTCACCATCATCAACATCGTCACCATCATCATCGTCATCATCATCATCGTCATCATCATCATCATCATCATCGTCATCATCATCATCATCATCACCATCATCAACATCATCATCATCATCATCATCATCAACATCATCATCGTCATCATCATCATCATCATCATCATCATCATCGTCACCATCATCGTCGTCACCATCATCATCATCATCATCGTCATCATCATCATCATCATCGTCATCATCATCATCATCATCGTCACCATCATCAACATCATCATCATCAACATCGTCACCATCATCATCATCATCATCCTCATCATCATCAACATCATCATCGTCACCATCATCACCATCATCATCATCATCATCATCATCAACATCATCATCGTCACCATCATCACCATCATCATCATCGTTCCACATCCATTTTTTCACATGCGGACGTTCGATTCCCCTTATGGCCCTGCACCAGGTCTTCCTATCTTCAGCATCTGTCTGGGCGAGGCCAGATGCTCTCATGTCTTCTACGAGTGTCTGGGTCTTACGAGGTCTGGGGCTGGAAACCTGGAAATTCACTGCTCTCTGAAGCCGTTGGCTTTCTTCTCTCCTCATCACATGTCCACCATACCCCCCCCCCCCCCTCCCCCCCCATATTAAAAATTATCATGGTGTTGAATACCATCCATACCCCTTAATAATTTCAAGTTCCAAATTTTTATTGTTCCACATTTTACAAAAAATATAGACATACTGTACATATAAAATTATACAATACATGTAGTATAAATGGGCACGTCTCAATGGCTCTCAATTCATATAATATATTAAGTGAAATGTGAGGAACCTATTAAAAAGCAGTGCGTGCATATTATAGGTTACTACAAAAGTAAGTATTGTAGAAGAAAAAAACTGTAGCAGTAGAGAAGGATGTAACCAAGAGGGGAGAATTTAAAACCCAATGGAATAAGGAAATTTGTATACAAAATAATGGAATGACCCTGTACAAACCTTGTCATCAATGGTGTCAAACTTGGTGAGGACTATTCCATCGATGAGACGGGGGTCGTCAGAGTCGGAGAAATCGGCCAGGGCGTGGTTGAACTTGGTGAGCTGATCCACAGCCTCGTTTCCTACCAGAGCTTCTCCAACAAACAGCACCAGGTCTGGACGATTCACCTTGATCAACTAGATAACAAGAAAGGCAATAGAAAAATTAGTTATGCAAGGTTTTGCGCTTTCTAAAATATAAAATTCAATCAATTTTCCATGTTTCTTTCAACAGTAAAACTTTTTAAATTCATGACCTTTTTCTCAGCACCATCAAACAAATGTGGTCTATAATAAATCTAAGTTATACAATGTTATGCAAATACATTTAATAAATAAAGATTTTTTAAAAATATGGGTGGGTACAGATAAGATAAAGCATACAAATTGCAGCAAAATTGGAGATACAATAGATATTAACGATTGAGTGTAGGTCAATTTTGATATTACAGGGCCCAGGAACCAGTTTCACAAAGCTTTTTTTCAATGACAAATGACACAAATCAGTGACAAATCTGTTGATAACCAATTAGAAGCCAGGATTTCAGTAGCTTATAACAAAAAATGTCATTTGTCACTGATGATAGGTTTTGTGAAACGCCTCCCAGGAGTAGAGATTATTATAAAATCTAACCTTGGAGAGTGCCCTCATGAGTGGCTCGTTGTCCTGCATTCGACCAGCTGTGTCTATCAGCACCACATCAAAGCGATAGTCTCGGGCTACAGCAAATTAATTGATTGAAAGAAGAAAAAGAAGAGGAGGAGGAGGAGGAGGAGGAGGAGGAGGAGGAAGAGGAGGAAGAGGAGGAGGAGGAGTAGAATGAGAAGAAGAAGAAGAAGAAGAAGAAGAAGAAGAAGAAGAAGAAGAAGACAAATTAGAAGATTAAAAAGAAGAAGAAGAAGAAGAAGAAGAAGAAGAAGAAGAGGACAAATTAGAAGATTAAAAAGAAGAAGAAAGAGAAGAAAATAACAACAACAACAATAATAATAATGATAACAATACAAATAATAAATGATAAAATAATAACAACAATTAACATTAATAATCACAATAATGATAATCAACAGTAATAATAGTAAGTTCGTGTACAGCACTCATGTCCGGTACACTTGAAACTCTTGGCCCTCCCTGTTATTACCACACCTTTTAATACTAGATGACATTTTGGTAACACAATACACATGCTTACTAATTCTATGAATACTTTTGCGATACAAATTTATCTTGATAGCTGAATAAAATTGATAGAGGCTTGCCTGACATGAATGAATGAATGCAGAGTGGATTCCATCAATAGAGATGTCATTGTGTAGGGCAGGATATAGAATAATCATTAAAGGGGACTTCATAAGTGAAACATGCATGAATCAAAATACACTGTATATTAGTCACAGGTCTATTAAAAGCATGTCTGCACTAGTTTGGTCAGGGGGAATTAGACCTCCCTGCAAGGTCACTGACAGGTGGTTCTTTCATCAAAACAGCTCTCATTTAACATAAGAAAGAGGGGATCATAGGGGACCAACAGGCACCGATTAGGTATTGTTGCTACATAGAGGGCGCAAATAGCTGTAAGTAGTGCAGTGGGGCTTTCAACAAAGTTTCTGGATATGCAGAAGTCGTGAACATATCAACGTTGCTACTCACCAAACTTGATGGCTTCCATAGCGATTCCTGCTGCGTCCTTCCCGTACCCCTTCTCGTAGAGCTGAACAGGGGCGTGACCCCCGTGCTTCTCAGCGGGGTGAAGGGCATTGAGATGGCGCTCGTGGGTGCGTAGCTGCTCCACGGCGCCGGCCCGGAAGGTGTCGCAGGCGGCGATCAGCACGCGGAAACCGTTCTCAATCAGCCAGAAACAGATCTAGTCCAGACGGGCGAAAAAAATCAGATCATTAATATGTTGGAATCGATCGAAAGGGAGGGATAGAGAGAGAGAGAAAGGAAAAGGGAGGAATGAAGAGAGAGTGAGAGAGAAAGAAAGAAAGAGAGAAAGAAAGAAAGACAGAGATTGAGAGAGAGACAGAGTCAGACAAACATTGAGTGAGAGAGAGGGGGAAAGGGAGGAATGGAGAGATAGTGAGAGAGACAGACAGACATACAGAGAGAGAGGGAGAGAGAGAGACAGACAGAGACAGGCTCAGCCAAACATTGAGTGAGAGAGAGAGAGAGCTTTTATTCTCATATAACATACATTTTCAATAGGCTCGAGCAGAGATATAATCAGGTTTAGTCGCATATCTTATAACAAAGAGCTCAGGGACTATGCGCAGGATCTTTGTTGAGTGCAGTTTCCATTCATTTACAAGTAAACAAATCGTGGAAGCTTTTTTGTTGCGGTTTAGAGCACCATATCTGAACCAGCTTTAATTTCCCAAGCTTTAGGTTAACGGTTTCCTTAAACCATTTCAAGCCTGACTTAATTGCAAATTTCAGGGCATATCTTGTAAGTGGCAAACTATGCATAATTTTCTTGTAGATGCCATATATACTCGGCCTGATTGGGGTGAGCAGGTGGACCACTACACCGGGGTTTCCCCCTACTCTTATATGAATACCGTAATTAACATTGTATAAACCGCCCTCATGTATTAACCACACCCCTCTTTTTCGCCCTAAAAAAAAAAAAAAAATTCTGTCGGCTGCAAGCCAGGTCAGTGTTAAAAAACCCATGCGGAAGGCCTTTCATTTAACTGCGAGGTGCAGCTGAATGTGTAAGATCATTAATGTAAATTAAAAAACAGTAGAGGACCTGGGATAGAACCTTGTGGTACGCTGTGTGTAATAGAAGAAAAATTGGAGGAATTATTATTATAATCTACATACGGTATTGAGATCTATCAGAAAGATTACTTTCAAACCAAGATGACGGACAAATTTGAGTGTTGTTCTAGTTTCCGAGTGGTGAGTCTACACACCGATTACTGAGATGGGAGACATTGCCAGGCATAGCACCAGATGGAGGGGCATAAATCGAAACTTTAAATCATTTTTTTTTTTGTACCCGTGTATAAGACGCACCCCCCGACTATGAATTTTTTTCGGCAAAAAAGTATGGTTAAAGATGAAGTTGAGTTCTCGTCATGCGATTGCATTGTGAAAGCATCGGTGTGGAATCGACCAGAAAAGGTTGATCATCTAGCATATAAGAATTTGTGTGCATTGCAAGGTTCTGGAATCATCAAAATGATAAGAAATTTGGCCAAGTCTTGGTAAGTTTCAAACGCTGTACACAGAAAGATGTATATGGGACTACACGAACACGTGGCGTAAAAATCCTACCCCCGAGTTTTACGATGTTACATGACATATTTCGAATATGAAGGCATTTGAAGAGCCATGCTTTTCAGGGAACATGTCTAATATGATGTTCTTCCACACTTGCATAATAAGAATGATAATGCTCACAAATTATTTTTCACCTCTTCCCAGAACTCAACCTTCTCTTAACGTTAATTACGGTAGTGCAGTGGGCTCCTAACGTGCAAGGGTGGTGACTCTCCTGAACACGGGGCCTCCATTAAACGTCCTAATCGCCCTTGATATATAATAATCTCATGGTAGTAACCTTTGCTAGATTAGTGGACTTGCCGACACCATTCACCCCACAGAACGTGATGGAGAAGGGCTTGTTACGGGCCTTGGCCTCCAGGGCATCTCGGAGGATGTCTACGCGTCGTCGTGGCGACAGGATCTGAACCAAGGACTCCTGTAGGGTTTCCTTGACTACGGATGTGACTCCTGATAAACATAAACATGTAACACCATTATTTACTCACATATTATTTAATCACTCGACTGGAAATTACTCAACTGAAAATTTTCAAAAGAAAGCTTAAGAAATATCTTATGATGTTTGAAGGTTTGCATGGTGGTATGAATAATCACGGTAGAGGTTTACAGTACACCATGTGTAAAGTCCTAGAAGGACTAAGGAAAGTGGATAGAAAATAGAAGTGAAAATAGAAAGGCGAGAAAGTGGAGGTTGGAAGGAAGAGTATCTTTCAGAAGTGAGTATAGTCCTGAAAAGGACTGTAAACCAGAAAGTTGTAGATAGGATGAGAGGTTTGAGTAGAAGACTGGATTGAGTTGGAGAGTTGAGTAGAGTTGCAGAGCAGGAGCAGGAGAGTAGACTCGACGTTTCGGACAGGTTGACTGTCCGTCTTCAGGAGTGAGTGTTCGCTATGCGTGCGGCGGTCCTTATAATGGCGTGAGTGCGGACTTGGGGGAAAGCACTGGGCCGGCGGGCTCGGCGGGTTGGCAGGTAGCTGTCGGTGGTGGCGCTCGGTTGCGTGAATTGGCGGGAAACGAGTGGGCGGCGGTTATGCGGACGTCGTGTGGTTGGTGTCGGCGGAGTAGCGGGCGGTGTGTCGGCTGATGAGTGGGTGTATCGATCGGCGGTGAGGACAGCTATTAGTGGTGTCGCTCTGTGTGTGTTGGTCGGCGGTTTCGTAGGCGTAGGTTGTAGCGAGGTGTAGGCGTGGTCGGTGCTTGTGTGGGTGAAGTGGCTAGTTGAGAACGTGTAGTGCTTGTTTGAGTAGGAGTGGTTGGGTGGTTGCAGGTGGTGTTTGGGCTGATGTCGGCGGACTTGAGTGCTTGGTGCTAAAGGTGTTCCATGAAGATGTTGGCGATGATTGGTGAGAGTGGAGATCCCATGGCTGCTCCTTGAAGTTGTTTGTAGAAGTCGTTGCGCCATTTGAAGGAGTTTGAGTGGAGGCAGGTGAGAAGGAGGTCGTGGATCTGGTCAGGTGTGAGCTTGGTCCTAGATTCCAGGTCTGGGTCTGAGATGAGGCGTTGTTTGATGATGTCGCATGCTTGGTCTACAAGATTCCCTGCGACTGCGGCAAAGTCTACATTGGAGAAACCGGCCGCGATTTCGACACCCGACTCAAAGAACACAAGACCCACCACCGACGCAGCGACTGGGACAAGTCAGCCATCGTCAAGCACGCACAACAAGAGCTCCACCGCATTCACTGGGATAAAAGTCACCTCATCACCACCATCCGACATTGGCACACCCGAAGGGTCCGAGAAGCCATCGAGATCCACCAACACAACACCGTACCCCAAGACCCAGGCCTTCACATCAACAGCATCTGGCACCCAATCCTTCCTCACCATTCTACTTCCGACCAATCTTCAACCAACTCCACAACCAGCACGCCAACCACCAACACGTCACCTATCCATCCATCCGTCAGCCCAAACACCACCTGCAACCACCCAACCACTCCTACTCAAACAAGCACTACACGTTCTCAACTAGCCACTTCACCCACACAAGCACCGACCACGCCTACACCTCGCTACAACCTACGCCGACGAAACCGCCGACCAACACACACAGAGCGACACCACAAATAGCTGTCCTCACCGCCGATCGATACACCCACTCATCAGCCGACACACCGCCCGCTACTCCGCCGACACCAACCACACGACGTCCGCATAACCGCCGCCCACTCGTTTCCCGCCAATTCACGCAACCGAGCGCCACCACCGACAGCTACCTGCCAACCCGCCGAGCCCAGTGCTTTCCCCCAAGTCCGCACTCACGCCATTATAAGGACCACCGCACGCATAGCGAACACTCACTCCTGAAGACGGACAGTCAACCTGTCCGAAACGTCGAGTCTACTCTCCTGCTCCTGCTCTGCAACTCTACTCAACTCTCCAACTCAATCCAGTCTTCTACTCAAACCTCTCATCCTATCTACAACTTTCTGGTTTACAGTCCTTTTCAGGACTATACTCACTTCTGAAAGATACTCTTCCTTCCAACCTCCACTTTCTCGCCTTTCTATTTTCACTTCTATTTTCTATCCTTAGTCCTTCTAGGACTTTACACATGGTGTACCGTAAACCTCTACCATGAAGAAATATCTTGTAAATGAATATGTATGACTAGGGTTATTTTTACATAAATGACTTTTCTGTTTTTGTTTTTTGTAATGGATTTGTCTGGTTTATTTCTATATATTGATGTTTTGTGTTATTTTAATCTTTGTATTTCTATCTTGATTTTAGTGTATTTAAGAAATTTTGTATGTAAATTTTATTATCTTTGGGAATAACCTTGATAGGCCATTGGCCTCTGTGTTTTCCCTCCACATTATGATTTAAATTGAAGATGTTTCATTTTAACGTTTGTTATTGTATATATGCATATAAATTGTACTTGTGCTTTATTTAAATCAGATTTGGAAATAAAATTTGGGCTTGAACTTGAAATGCAAAGGTTGTTGGGTTCACGATTACAATTAAGATAACATATTTTATGAAGAAATACGACTACCATAATTTGAGAAAAAAGGGGAAATATATTTCCGGTGAAAACGTAATGGTTGGCAGCTTTGTAAGAGCTTTACTTTGTGATTCTTGTAGGCCAACTTACTTCCGAACGTTCCAAGGACTTTGCCTTCCAGCTTGGTGGCCACAGACTCACACAGCTTCTCAGCTATGTCCCGGGCAACATTCTTAGCTGAAATAAAAACACAATACACAGTATATGGTTTGGTTTGGTTTGGTTTGTTTTACCAGACTGGTACTTTTCATTGCTTGTTTAATATATAGAGGGAGCAAGTAGCTACAAGTAGGGCAGTGTGGCTTTAAAGCTTATCTGCCTTGGTTTACAGGAGGGATTAGACTGCCCTGCAAGGTCACTGGACAGGTGGTTATCTCATCAACTCAGCTCTCAGTTAACATAAGAAAAAGAGGATCATGGGGGACCAATGGTCACCGATTAGGCATTGTTTGTTATATAGAGGGCGCAAGTAGCTACAAGTAGTGCAGTGGGCCTTTAAGAGATGATATAGAGTCCAAACCTGACAAAAAAATAGCAAAAAATCATTTTGAAATGCCTCCTCCTGTTTGGTGCTGTTTTTCGTATTTGTATTTTGTGTTCTTCTTTGAGATGGTATAGAGCGGCATATGTTAAAGGGAGTGTAGCATGGCAAATACTGGTTAACACCATCTGCCATTTCTTTTGGACAACAGCATGTAACCGAAAGGACTTGATTAACAGTCAGAAACAGAACAAAGTTCTCCTCACGCTTCGGTTTCGCGTATGAGGCACACATGTGAATACTGCGGTCGCGTCGTCCGTAGTCGCATTATACCTGATTGGCCCCGAGTCAGGCCACGGAAAAGACACATTGTCTTGTCATGATACCAACCCTTTAAAGTGACTCAGTAACATTGCCAAGGATTCTGAAACAAAATCCTAGATTTAGCTCATGCTGCAATCATAATTAAAAACCTTTAGGTCAGTCAGGAATCCCATGACTTATAAGTCGATCGCCTGTCTGATTATCGAGATATTCATGATTGGAAATCGGTTTTTTATAACACTACATTCTATTGGGGAAAATGAGTATGGTAAAACCGGTCACTAAAAGATTTTTTACTTTTTGAAGCACTTCATGATTATTTTGAATTGCAATTTTTTTTGCGCTTCAATATTACACCATATCACAGACACTGATAACACGTAGGGCCATGCATCTCAGATTTTACATTGTTAAAAGATGCCTTTAATGGGACCTTACCTGTCAGGTGATCACGCATCTTATCCAGCACGGGAGCCATAGTCTCCTTGTCCAGGGTTTTGGAGCCAACCAGACCACGGAACATGTTGAACATGCCAAAGCGACTGCCAGTTTTAGCCTGGGCTCTGGAGACAAAACAAAGAAACTCTTTGAATGAATTGCACCAATTTCTTATTTTTTCAATGCTATGACATAATATGCATATTGTTTTTAGCCTCATCAAACAATATTTTTCTTTACATGTATATAGATTTTAAATACCAATAATATGCATGCACTTGCAACTGTCATACCACAATATATTTAACGCAATATGCATTACAGTGTAATTCACATTTCGTATGATCTCATGGCAAGTATTAATACAATGTAAATATGCTAAATTCATACTTTGAAGTACCAATATTGACTTGAATTGAATTTATTGTCAGATGCTTGCTACATGTATATACAAAGTATGGAAACACATGCTCCACCATAATCTTTGTGTTGAAAGCAGGGAGCTTTTTAGACTGGGCCCTAGAGAGAATAAAACCCAATTAGTTTTGAAATCTGTTAGAGTGTATTGTACATGTACAAATATATAGTGTGCTATTATCATGTTATTGCAAGCAAATATTCCTAGGTCTTGTTGTATAAAGAGTTGAGATTGATTGAAATCAATTGCAACCCCCATCTCTAAAGTATGCAGTTGCTATTAATTCAAAAATTGACACTGGGGGATGTGGTACATGAAAGAAATATTGACTACATATTTTCGGGTCACAGTAGAGTTTCAAGATTACCCTGGGCAATAGTTTTAACTGTGCCCCTCAAATAGTGCTGTAAGTCAGACGCTATGTTCGTGTTCGGTTCGGTTCGGCAGAGTTCGGCAATATTTCACCCGAACTTGGTTCGGTTCGGGGTTCGGTAATATAATAGCAAGCAGCGTTATATCCACGGCGGTCGGCACTGGGCGGGCCGCCCGGCCTGCCGGGCCCGACCAGCACGGAGGACTTCTGCACACTGCCACCGACCAGCACGAATTTCACATTAAAAAACTGCTCTAAACGTAATTATTTGTGAAGAAAAATACTACTTACATTCGTATTTCCGTCTTGAATCGTGTTTTATTTTCAATTTTAAAAGAATCATGTTTTCAATTTGTCAATAAATGATATTTTTTAAAGATTTTCCGACACGGTTGTTGTCTAATGTTAGAGTCATGAAAGCTGCCATCTTGAATAGAGAATTCAGGCTCGTCAATAACCCGTTTTTTATAAGATTTTATTTTCAATAGGAAAAATATAAAATCCCTATTTTTCCTGAATAAATAAATACCATACTGAATTGAATATTTATTTCATTATTTATATTGTAAAATTTGTCCGATATTGTTACAATTAAAATATTAATTTGAATGGGTTTGAGCTGAACTTGTTTTGATCACGAACATGCCACATGTATTCTTGTTTATGGCTTGCGATCGCAACGTAGCGTGGTCAGGATTTGGGATTTAAATGGCGCCAGTGAAGTCGCGCCCACCACTGGATAGGCATAAATCACAAAGGCAGAAAATTGGGAAAAAGTAAATATAAAATGAGCAATCATGACATGAAAATTAGGTACAAAAATGACAAGTTTATTAGCTTGCAAAAACGTTTACATTTTTCTGCCGAACATCCGAACCAGGCCTTTGTGTTCGGTTCGGTTCGGTTCGGTTCGGAAGTGCCATGTTCGGCGAACTTCCGTTCGGTTCGGCGGTTCGGCTACAGCACTACCCTCAAAGCAGTCATTATCTGTACTTAACATATCCCTTTGATGTCTAAACAATCTGTACCAGCTTGGGAAAGTGAATGTTCGATGTACAATAATGTCCCTTGATGCTTAAGTTTGAGAGTGTGGGGAATCAAGAGTAATAACATAGATCCGGGCCCAAGTTTCATAAAACCTGTAATCAATAACAGCTGCCACAAATCTATGACAAAATCTGCTCACAGCCAATCAAATGCAAGGATTTCAGTAGCTTACAACAATTATCCTAACTTGTTATTGATACCACGTTTTGTGAAACAGGGGACTGGTATGATAGACTTACTTTGGTTTGCTGGCTGCCTTCTTAACCTCCACCTCCTCCTCCTCCTCTTCTTCTTCCTCCTCTTCCTCTTCGTTCAGTCCATCAATGTTGGGCAGCTCTCCTTTCATCGTACCAACCCAGGCAGACTGAAGGCGATAGAAGTGAAAGAAAGAGAGAGAGGGAGAGAGTGAGAGTTGGGGAGAGAGTGAGAGAAAGTGAGAGAAAGGGAGAGATGGGGAGAGAGTGAGAGAAAGAGAGAGAGAGAGAAAAAGAGAGAGAGAGCACGAGAAAGAAAGAGAGAGAGCAAGAGAGAAAAAGAAAAAAAAAAGAGAGGGGGAGAGGGGGATAGAGCAAGAGATAAAGAGAGAGAAAAAGAGAGAGAGAGAGAAAGAGAGAGAAGAGAGAGATAGAGAGAGAGAGAAGGAAGAGAGATGGGAAAAATGAAAACGATTTATTTCTGGAAATTACCTTATCTCACAAGAAAAGTTACAAAGTACATGTACTTAGCAAATGTTACGCTGATAATCATCCCTTACATGATCCAATATGAACTATTTTGTCATGAAAGTTGCACTAGGTTTGAAGATAAATGAAGTTAAAAGCAAGGAACACAATCATGACGAAAAATTGAACAAAAGATATTGGATGATTGATTCCCTAGTTCCCTTCCCTCTCTCTCTCTCTCTCTCTCTCTCTCTCTCTTTCTCGCCCACTTTGAAATGAGTATCTCTTTCATATCATTATGACCGGTCTCTTCCTCCCTCGTCTCTCTTACTGAATCTCTCATCTCTATCTATCTCCCTCTATCTCTCTTTCTCGCTCTCTCTCGCTAACTTTATTTAAGTCAGTCGCTCTCTCTCTCCCTCTCTTGCTTTCTTTTCCCTACCTCATCCTCTAGATCAAACTCCTTATGTCCGTTTTGTCCATCGGTGGTCACATTGGTACCAGGGGGTTTCTCACTCCAGTCTCTTCTTCCCTCTCCTCTCTTACTGAATCTCTCATCTCTGTCTCTATCTCCCTCTATCTCTCTTTCTCGCTCTCTCCCGCTCACTTTGATCTAAGTCCAACCGTCTCAGTCATACTCTCCCTCTCTCTCCCTCCCTTTTCCCTACCTCATCCTCCAGATCAAACTCCTTATGTCCGCTCTGTCCCTCGCTGGTCCCGTTGGTACCAGGGGGTTTCTCACTCCAGTCCATCCCTCTCAGTAATTCCCTCTCTTACTTTATCTCTTATCTCTGTCTCTGTCTCTCTCTATCTGTCACTATCATAAGTCCAACCATCTCAGTCATTCTCTCCCTCTCTTCCTCTCTTCCCTACCTCATCCTCCAGATCAAACTCCTTATGTCCGTTCTGTCCCTCGCTGGTCCCGTTGGTACCAGGGGGCTTCTCACTCCAGTCTAGATCGGGCATGTCTTTAGCGTTCCCTCCCATGCCCCAGGTGGTTGCTTGCTTGGTCTTCTTGGTCGGCTTGGAAGTCACTTTCCTGGGAATTTAAAAAAACATGACATTCAGTTCATTTGTTTTTTAAAGTTATTTATGCAATCAACAACAATTTACTATGTATAATAATCATATTTGGTTGAATATGCATGATTTCGTCACGAATGGTGTGTTTCATGAACCAATAAACATCCCCAAATTGCTGATGTGAGATGCTTGTCGGATACTTTACAGGACAGAATGGGCATTGAGCCATTGAAATGGCACACACACACAAAATATAATTTTTTTTTTTTAAATATCTAAGAACTACAACTAAATCGTACGGGTAGGTAGGTCTGTTTCTATGTGTCTTTAAAAGGATTTAATGATAGCACAGTGGGTTGGCTTTGAACCAGTTTTCTGTATAACTGATCTTGACAAAAGTCGGCAACCACATGAAGAAACAACTTTGTAATTAACAAGTAGACGCGCCTAGCATGGGAACACAAAACAAGAGCTACATGAACCTACTACAAGACCATCTTGCACTTTTTTCCCAGAAATTTAACTTACGGTGATTTCTCTACTTTCTTGGGCTTGTTCCTGTTAAACATCTTCTCTCTGTTACGGTTAATAGTCTCCTCATCCAGACTTCCACTGTCGATGGTTTCTGGTTGTTTTGCTGGTTTCTTGGAGGGTTGGGGACTAGATTCGGTCTTATCTGAGTTGATGAGACACAAAGATTACAAATTCAATTCAATTTCATTTCTACTTTTGTATTCGTCCAGATTAAACAATGGAAATGTTCATTTTTGTTTACAAGCAATAAAATTATAAACAACTGTTAAAGCCCCACTGCAAATAAAATAAAGTACCGCTTAGACATTGTTGGCTGTATTTTTTTTGTTAATTTGATTTGATTTATTGATTTCTGCATCTTTTTTCTTTTTTCATCATACATTTTCATGAACATAATATGGTTTGATACAGTATTTTAAGTGTATATAATTTTATACAGATAATAAACAAATTTAAACATATACATTGAATGCATAATTAACATACATTAGATGATGTATAGAGGGCGCAAGTAACTATAAGTAGTACAGTTGGGCTTTAAGTACCCATCTTTCAACAAAAGTATTTACCAACATTTTAGGAGCAATGATGAAAAAAAGCACCTTCTACTATCACTTTTCCATATATGCTTGTACAAAATCTGGTGAACAAATTCTTTTTTTCTCCAAAGTTACAAAAAATGGATTTAGCTCCTTTTGAAATTAAACTTACTTCCTTTCTTGGCTGCTTTGTTGGTGATATTCTTCTCCTCTTTGCTGGGGTCTATGATCATAGATGCTACAGTCTTCTTGGATTTGTGAGATTCTTCAAAACTCTTCATCTGTATCAAAAATCAAGATAAAAGATACAATCAGGAATGCAAATATTTAGAATACTTTATAATTATCGCACAACCAACTGAGCTTAATAAATTAAGTTGTTATGACTGTGTTACAAAAATTAAATTATATATTGTTTTTTTTAAACCAAGATGGTTCATTGAAACATATCTTCGCAGACGGAAGGCTGAATTGTTTTTCAGATTAAACAAACAAAAATACTGTAGGCTAATGTACAATAATAGGCTTTAGAAACAAGTTGCACTGCCCTTTGCGACTGATCCAAAAATCTTGAAATCTTCAGTCAGCATTTTATTAAATTTTATTCTTTTTAGTGTTTAAAAAAAAAAAGAATAAAAAAATATGTACCAGCTTTAACTCCTCTCCGAGAGACCCAGAAATGAGGATTAATGCCTTACCAAAGGGCACTAGCGCATCGCCCTGGTTTCGAACCCAGGTCACCGGATTACGAGACCACTGCTCTACCAACTGAGCTATCGCGCCTCCTCAAAAAGTGTATTCATATACAATTTGATTTGCATCAAGAATTTGATTTGTCTCAAGAGTGAACGATACTACTAATTGGTCCCAATTTAAGGAGGCATACATGTACATGTGATGTAGCTGATTCATATTTACACCTTTAACATTTTTTGAAATGCTTTCTTTACCTGCTTGCCTTTCTTGGCAACTACGCTACTCTTCTCCGCCTCCCTCAAGACCCGCTGGAAATCATCGCTGAAATCAAATTGGCCAAATATCCTTCCGCTCCTCAGCACATCCTTGTACTTGTCTCTGAACTCCCGGTGAATATCATCAATGAACTTGTCAATGTACGCCAGTGCCAATATATTTTGGTAGGCAACCTGTTCAAGCGGATCAATAAAAGGTTGTTAATCTTTGCTGACTTCATTGTTAAAAGCGATACTGAACTGATGAACTTTCTACCCTAGTGCACTGTTTATTGCATAGCGCCATCTCATGGTTAACCTGCCAACAGGGCGTAACCGCTTGAGAGGGCCCAGCAAGGGAAGCAGCGAGTTATGGGATCATACTGCTACAGCTGACCTGTGATGGCATTAGAGGGAATGTTGTAGTAGTGATTGAAGTACAGAATGGCTTTAAGTCAAATTGGGCAAATATTCTTCTGATTTTTAGCTCATTCTTGTAGTGAACTTGTCTCAAAATTGATGTAGAGCATCATTAAAGGTACTACAAAGTTTTGGGAAATATTGAAAACTGGTGGATAGTGATTCTTTACAATTTTGATATATTTGGACACCCCTGTGGAAGTATTATAAGCACTGGAAAATTTAGCCCCTAAAACATTTCTGCTTTCAAGAAAAATTTAATATAAAAATTTACTGGTGCTCCTGGTAAATTTTGATAAATTTCATATAGCGCCTACGGCCGTACAATGGTAGCTGAGACCATGAAAATAGCAGTATATGTCGTCGTGATATATAACTTCCAAACGGGAATAGCTAATCGGTCGATTTTAGTCAAGAAACATTATTTTATAGCTTAATTAATATATATTGACCTCGAGAGGGAGCTATACAAAATAAATAGTTATCATTTACAATTTCATAACTTTAAACTCGATTTCAACTGCGACAACGATCACTGAATATTGTAGGATCGCATATCATTATAATATGTTCATTTGAACCAAATTCATGTCCCCCATACCAAAACTTTGTATTACCTTTAGTATTGTATTACCATCAGTTCTTAACGCACTCCATTGGTCACCCATGAGTGAACGCATTGTTTCAATATTATAATCCAAGATGGCGGCCCGCATGTTTTGCCCCTGCTCTTAGACCAATATTATTAATTTCAAAGTCATGAAAAGGCACCAAATATCAACAAACATGGTCTACAACAACTCCAAATGACAAAATAATTCCAGCTATTAATTTTGTTTGAGCATTTGATAGCCCAAAACTTGAAAATTTTCGTCATTTAAAAAAAAAAAAAAAAAAAAAAATCAGCCGATTTTTTTTTGTCGATCTTCCGATCCAATACCGATCATAGGTGGAGGGTGTCGCTCCGATCTTCCGATCAGATCAGAGCGCCAACTTACAGGGTTACTTTTATTTCATTGTGTCAATTGCTCTCCTCCCCACTATACTATTACTTTGATAAATCACTACATTCCGTCCTGATATTTACGCTCTAAAAACTTCAGGTTTCTTGTTTGTCATAAACTCAATACTAAGTAGGGGGGGGGGGGGAGGGAATCTGTGCTCATGCAGGGCTTTCGTTGTGGAATGCTCTCCCTCTCGACCCAGGGTCAGGTTTAACCAAATTAGTATACAGACCAAACAGTTTACCCAATAAGTGAACTTACCACAAATATGAGTTCAAACTCATTGTCTAATTTATGTTTGAGCGTCAGGGTTCCATGGTTAAAAGAGTTGCTTCCTCCACGCTCCTACAGAGGAAAGAGAGAGAGAGAGACAAAAAGAGACATTGTCGAACATTAAAAGGTATGTGCATGGGATGTTAAATTACCTGGCATTGTGAAGGAAACTTTCCAGTGATTAAGATAGAGAAGCAGCTTGACTGTATATTGTCACATAACCAAAGTATACATTCACTGACATCCTTTTAATAATGTACATGTTGACCAAAAAGAAAAAGAAGGAAACAAATTATATTTAGCGTCCCCATTATTAAGGCTGCCTGATTCTTTCCTCTTTTTTTTGGTGTGGAAAAAACATAAAACTTGCTGCTAAAAAGATCTTTCTGAAAAAAATAAAATAAAATATAAAAGCTGGCAGTCATCTTTAAAAATAGCCTCGCCGGACATCTAAGAAAATGTACTGAGCAGCCGTTTTGAAGAAAAAGAGGGCCTTCTCCTCCTTTTTTTATTAAAAAAAAGGCAGGACGCAAAACATTTATACATGTAGACATGTACCGTAATTAACGGTGTATTAACCACACTTTTTTGCCGCAGAAAAAAATTCAAAGTGGGGGGTGGGTCTTATACATGCACACGGTACACACACACAGAAAAAAGCTCAGTAATCGGTGTTGATTCACCACTCAGAAACAGAACACTAGAACAACACTCAAATTTGTCTGTCATCTTGGTTTGAAAGTAATCTTTCTGATAGATTTTAATATGTAGTTTATAATATCAATTCCTCCAATTTTTCTTCTATTACATGGGTACCACAAGGTTCTATCCTAGGTCCTCTACTGTTTTTTAATTTAAATTTACATTTTAATTTAATGATCTTACACATTCAGCTGCACCTCGCAGTTAAATGAAAGGCCTTCCCGCCTGGGTTTTTTAACACGGACCTGGCTTGCTGCCGACATAGTTTTGAACCACTGCATAGCTTTCAATGTAGAATTGGCTCCTATAGGTTTTGGGTATATCAGCCCCGGTTTCATTAGTTGAAATAGTTGAAATATTTATTGGTTACTGAATCATCATAGGTTATAACAATAATGTGACAATGTCTTTACATGAGTATAAAACATAAGTTAAATTACATTTCCACATTCAGTAAATCATAGATACATACGCTCGAAGAGGTGATGATACAGAAGGGCTACAGCCTAAGCGTGACAGCTTGATACGCTTGCAGCCCAGAAACATTTAAAATCATAACGATTGTAAAGTAAAGTAAATTACAAAACATAATTGTGGGAAAATAACAAAAAATAAACAGTGACTTGCAACCAAGAAAAAAAAAATGGGATAGAGGGTGCATGGGAGGGGGATTTTCCTGCTATATCAAGGAAATGCTGACAAACATATATGATATCATGTGTTAATTTAAGAGATTTGTCAATATTTGCTCAATAAAATTGATTTCACACTTTTCTTGAAAGTATATACTGACTTCAAGTTACGGATGTTAACGGACAGTGAGTTCCAAATATCCGGACCAGAATGTCTTATAGATTTCATAGCCATTGTTGTTTTAGGATTACATAAATGGTATTTATTTGATTGTCTGGTTGGGTATGTATGAATAGACCTATTTCTATTCAAACAAAACATTGGTGGGAAGTGGGAAGGTAGGGAATCATTATGTAGACAGAACATGAACAGTGCTTTTTGTAAAAAGTTAATATCAGTGACTTTCAGAGTTTTTAACTTCGCGAATAGGGGATCAGTGAAAGTACTTACCGTATCTAGATCATACACAAGGAGAGGAAATATTCTTGTTCATCAAATCTTCTTTTCCAAATTTCATTAGCAACTATGAACTATGAACTAGGAAACCCCAGATTTGAAGTAGTGTAATAGATGAAGACTGAAGAATCCTTGAATATGGTGAACCAGCAATTTTAATTGAATTAAAACCTCTTTCAATTAATGTTGGTTAAAATTTTGCACTGTTTCCAAAAATATAAGTCGCATTGACCCTTCTCAAGATTTGTTGATCTTTTTTAGCCAATTTTTTGCCCAAACTAACCATCAAAAATTGATCAAATCGACCCCTATCATGTCATGAAAAACAATGAATTCAACATTATCATTTTTGTAACTTTTTGGCCAAGAGATGACAATTTCCATTGACTTTTGTCAATAATAGAGCCAAATTTCAGTCAGAATAAATGAATGAATGGTTTTTGACATCCAATTCAAAATAAAGAATGTGCGCTGATAAAGTGTTATGAGAACAGTCAATCTCATTTTTGATTTGACATAGAAATGTTCAAACCACTTTGAATTGATCGTTGACTAGCATTTTGCTGCGCTGGCCGCTGGACTGGTTCAAAGATGTCAATCTGAGAGCTGAAAATTGGCCTGTCATGATTTGCTGTTGGGGCGCTGTTAATTGTGAATTAGGGGGGTAAGAGCCCTGATTATATATCTCTGATTTACCACCTCAAAAAGGCCCCAGTCCCCCCCCCCCCCCAAAAAAAAAAAAAAATACAAAAATACAAAAATACCAAAAAATACCAAAAAAATAAAACAAAAATAAAAGTTAAAACACACACAAGTCAAACATATGCACTCGGTTAAATTATTGCAACACCAATTTCAACTCGATCCACAATATTACGACAGAATTAGTTCAGTTATCATGCCTTGGCCAGCATAGGCCCAGCAATACACACATCACTCATCAACGTGCATGATCATGATGATCACACTCATTCATGCATCACCATCATCATCACAATCCGCAATCCATTTCCATTTGATCTGTACATGAAATATGATAACTTTAAATTCACTCACCTGGAGAATCCCACTTTTTATCAGCGAATTCACGGGCGCTCCAAAGGCTTGGCATGTTCCTTGGAAACACCAAAGAACGATCCCTCCTTTGCTAAAAATCGTGAAAAGGTCCAACATATTGTGACTTCCCGTCGTCTCCCTTGCACAATCAACACGCAATCTAACTCAACCTAGCTAACTAATTTTTGCATATCAATTCAATCTTTCTATGGTACCTTCGAAGCGTCAAAAACCAATGCAATAACAAAATGAGATAGAAATAGATCTATGCAGGCGCGTACACAGGGGGGGGGGGGGGGTTACGTTAACCCCCCCTTTGGTATTTTAATACCCCCCCCCCCCCGCCATCAATCCCTAAAAACCTCCCCCCCCCTTGTTTTTTTTTTTTTTTTAATTTAAATTAGACTATTAAAAAAAAAAAAAAAAAAAAAATATTCCCATGGCTGACCTAAAAAGGTGACCTTACCCCCCCCCCCCACCCAACGGAGCCAAATGTCAAATTTTCAAATTTCGAGACCAAAAAAAAAAAAAAAAGTGTCCTCTTATATACCTCCCCTCCCTTTCTTTTCCCTTCTCATTATTTTCCTTTTCATCCTTTTCTCTCGTCCGTCTTTCCCCTTTCTTCCCTTTCCGCTTATTCTCTCCTCTCTCTTCCCCTTTCTTCAGTTTCCCCTTCCTTTTTCTCCCCTCCCCTTTTTTCTCCTCCCTCTTTTCTTCTTATTTCTCTCTTTCTTTTTCTTTCTTTTTCCCCTCCTTTTTCGCTTTTTCTCCCTTTTTCTTTCTCCCCTTCTCCCATTCCCCCCTTTTTTTACCTGGGGGGGGGGGGGAGGTACCCCTGGGCCCCTTACTCGGCCACTGATAACCTTAACTGATCAATAAGGACATTCTTAGGGGACTTATTGCTCTTCACGGGGGCGGGGAGGGGAGGGGGAGGACCAAGGGCGTCAATCCGAGCTTCAGCATGAGAGGGACACAATAACTTTTTTGTTGTTGCCCAATTCGTCCGGAAATATTTAGCGGCGATTCAGCCTGGCACTGACCAGATAGGAAAAGGGGTAATAAAGGAAAATGTGCTTTAGTTGAAAGAAAAGGGGCATCGATCAGATTAAGGGCATTCTTCAGAGGTGTAAATTAAGGCGCTTTTATGAGAAGGGGGAAGTGGCAAGAAAAAGAGGCAAACGGGGCACTTATATCAGAGATGAAAAGGAAAGGGCATCGTTGTCAAAGTAAAAAGGGGCGCAAGGGGATAGGCGCACTTTGGGGATAGCTCTCCCCCCCCCCCCTCCTCTTTGCTTTCTCTTATTCTTCTTCTGCCTCTTCTTCTTCCACTTCTTTTTTCGTCTTCCTCTTCTTCCTCTTTCTTCCCTTCTTCACCTTCTCCTACTTATCACTATTATATTATTCTCTTTACTCTTTATTTCTATCTCTCGTTTCTTCTCAAATTCACTCTCCTTGTACGTCTTTTGAATCTCATACTATACTACTCCGTTTTCGCCTCCTATAATACCTTTTAAATCCAGACCTACTATATTGTGTTACTCAGTACGGGAGCCTATTCACATACAAGCTAAGCTTTTTATTTAGGCTCCCCACATTTTACATTGTTCTACCTAGCCTGTTATATATACATATTTCGAAATTTCGTACTTATTTTCCGTTTTTTTTTTTTTTTTAAATCTTTTTTTTTCTTCTGTGAAATCTATTCTTATAATAATATACGACTGTATAAAAAAAATATATATATATGTATAAAAAAAAAAAATATATATATATATATATGTATATAAACTGTTTTTCTATGTAAAATGTGGAATAAATAAACTTCAAACTTCAAACCTGTCGGTAAAGCGTCCGTCTGTCGAACCAAATATCCCGGGTTCGACTCCCACCCAGGCGGATGACTGAAGCCTGCGTTGTGTGTTTTGTTATACAGTAATAAGCTATTGAAGGTTGAAGAGGGGGGGGGGGGGAGGGGAGTGAGGAGGAGGCAAGAGCCCTTCGCCCCCCCCCCCCCCCCCCCCGTTTCCCTCTTTTCTTCTTCTTATTCTTTCTTTCCTTTTATCTTCTCTTTCCCTTTCCCTTTTTTCCTTCTCTCTGTCTCCCCCAGCTAGGGCTGGTTTTGTTTACGAAGCGCCCGTCAGGAGAGTACACGATAGAGTACACGATAGAGTACACGATAAAATTGACGATATCGTGAACTTTATATCGTGAACTTTTCACGATAAAATTCACGATATCGTCAATTTCATCGTGAAAAGTTCACGATAAAGTTCACGATATCGTCAATTTCGTGAATTTCTTCGTGAAAAATATGCGATAAAATTGACGATATCGTGAATTTTATCGCATATTTTTCACGATTTAGTCTATTCGCGATGTCCCTTCAGGGCCACCATACAATTATGTATGGTTTTGAAAATGGTACTCTCCCAAATGCGTTAGTACAAATATTTCGAAAGAACAATCAAATTCATAGCTATAATACAAGGCAGGCAACTGCACTTCATATTCCACGTGTAAGAACTGCTTTTGCTCTGAAGACGCTGGCTTGTAGGCCTACTAGTCCCAAGTTTTGGAACTCACTTCCTATCAATGTAACTAGATCTGATCTGTCAGTGTCTTTGTTTTTAAACGCAAATTGAAATTAGGGCCTACATTTATTGAGTAACTATTATGTCGACAATTAACGTAACAATTATATCACCAGAAATGATATTAAGTAATAATTTATTAATATATATTGATAACGTGCGTATTATATATTGTTTTTGATGTTTGATTATTCAATATAAATGTCAGCATTTCACATTCTCTCTCTCTCCGCCCCCCTCCTCTCTTCTATTTTTCTTTTTCTTTACACCAAATACCATTTTCCCCTATGTACACATAACTTTCTTCTTTCCCTGTTTTTCTCTGTTTTGTTGTTTTTCTCGTTCCAGCCTTTGCTTTTTTCCTCTCGATCCTTTTGTATATATTTTCATCCTCTCCTTTTCGAATTTCAAGCTATCCCTTTTGTAAATATTTCCCCCATATTTAATCATGTGTAGTTTTGGTAACTTTGAAACGTTTTAAAAAGTGAAGTATTGATAAATTATGTTATAGGCCTATGGGGATCTTGCTCTTACAAGCCCAGCTTTTCTAAGGTCTCCACTTCCTTTCATTTGGATATCGACTTAAAATTGCACTTAAATTGTTTTTTCTTATGCTATTTTTGTTCTATTATTATATGTAAAAATGTTGTGAAAGAAAGAAATAAAATGAACCTTGAACCTAGAACCTTAAACCTTCCCTTCGTGCAGATATACTACTTAACTAGTTAAAGGTTTTATCAATCTTTTGACTTATGATCTGTTCTGTTGTTGTTAATTACCATCATCATAGACAGGGCCGTAACCAGAGTTTGATGTTTGTTTGTTTGTTTGTTTCTTCTTTTTTTTTTGGGGGGGGGGGGCCCACATTCATGTTGAGGGGTCTAAACAATTTCAACCGATCCCCGTGCCCCCGTGCCCCCGGCGTGGCTACGTGCCTGATCATAGATAATTTTGTCATCAATATTATATTTATTTTGTTTCGCTTACACTTAGTTAGACAACCTTTTATTGTAACGAAATTGCTGACTTATATTTCGAAATATAATTAGATCTTAATCTGATGAAATTCGGCTCAATATAAAAATGGAGGTCTAACTTTTGGATGGAATACAAGATGGAAAAGGAAAACAAATTTGGGTTTTCCGAAAACTTATTTTGACCGATACCATAGATTCAATAACAATCATAATTTTATTTTTTTATACACGTAGCTAGATTCAGCTTTTACTTTGTGGACCGGACGTACGTGACCTATGCTTTTTGTTGTTGTTGTTGATCTAGTTTTTGGTAGGCTATAATACGTCTAATAATACGTTGACGAGTCGACCGAGTCCCACTATAAGGGGGTTCACTATGTACAGACAGGAAGGATTAGATCTCAGACAGGAATTGGGTTAAAACACCTTTAATAAGGCGACAACGGCCTTAGAAACAACAATCGGAATCTTACAGACAATCGTCCATTTTCTCCTCTCTCGATCCCTCTCCCGATCATATCGGTATCGGTATCGGTTATCACGATATCAATCCCTATACTCTCCCCCACCAAAAATACCCTACGGGGTTTTTTCAAATTATTTTCAAACATTTTCAAACTGCTCATAAAACAAGCCAAATCTCGCCCGAGACATATACATGTGAAGCAACAATTTTGCAACCAAGCGCGCGTACAGACAAAACAGACGACCACCAGTTCTCTTAATTTGCTGTGATCGCTATCGACTCTTTCTATGTTGAGTTCAGGGTAAATCTATACACCCAGTTCGCTTGTCTGCGCAAGATACCATCAGTACTCAAAAAATGTACACTGTAAGAATAACGAACATCGCACCCCAAAGGATAGCTTTTCCCCCTTTAAAACAGAGATGCAAAATACATAATGCCAAAAACCAACAAGAAAAAACGTCCAATACAGATTATCGTCTGAACATGTTCAAACATATCTATGAATACCTTCTCAAAGAAAAATCAAAAGAAGTAACACAGCACCAGCACAGCTGAGTGCTCTTTTGTTTGATTTCTTTCTAAAAGAAATAACCCTTAGACAAATTTGTAATTTATCCCTACCTGCATGGCTAAAGTGTAGGATGAATGACAACTAAACATACTTCGTATCCCCTATTAATTTAAATCCGTTCAGCAGGTCCGGCAAAAACATTTAAATATATATAACAATATATATATATATATATATATTGTTATACCCAATGTCAGGTCAGATATAGTGTTTACCAAAGTGTAGGACGTTAGCAAAACTAACATCTGTATATGTGTAAATTATAAACTACACTCAATTGGTAGTCCTTTTGTTTCGTTTATCTTTTGAAACACAAATTCTGTGTACATACTGTATAACAATTTCATGTGCACAAAAATTCAGTGTACATGTATAACTCTAAGTAAAAACACTAGATGCAAAGACAGAAAATTCGCAGGGAATCACAAGTTTATATACAGTTCCAATTTTCAACAATTTCCAACCGGTTGTATTTATCCTTTAACTGTAAAGATAAGGATCCGACATGTTAATATTATAATAGTCATCCACAATTCTGAAGAGTGCTTAATCCTGCACGAGCCAGA